GGTACGTGAGGGACGTGCTGATGGATTGATTGAGTGGCTGTGCTGTGCTGTGGCTGCTTGGCTGGGTGCCTCAATGCCTCCCTCCCTCTATGTGTTGTGTAGTTGAAGAAGAGCCCGGTGCTTCAGTATCTCTTCTACCTCAAGCAGATCGGCCTGGCCATGTCGCCGCTCTCAAACAACGCACTCTTCCTGGAACTTGGTGTGGTTGCTATGCTATCCTACCACCCCACCCCCCCGGAACATACACATACACACACGCACACGCACCCAAACATACAAATGCAGGCAGGCGTCTCTTTATGTGTGTGTGTGTGTGTGTGTTTATGGCACACAGCGAAGAATCCCTTCCCGCAGTACTTCAAGATCGGCATGAACGTGTCTCTGTCGACCGACGACCCTCTCATGTTCCACTACACCGACGAACCGCTGCTGGAGGAGTACTCAATCGCTGCCGTAGGCCACCACACACACACACACACTCATGGATGGATGGAGGATGTCGGTGTCTCTCTGTCTGTGTGAGGTCAGCATGTGTGGAAGATGTCCAACGTGGATCTCTGTGAAATCGCCAGGCTGTCTGTGCTCATGAGGTACGCACAGCACACACACACACACACACACGAGGCGAGGGAGGGAGGGACATTGGTTGGTATGTGCTGTGCCTTGATTGTCTGGGCAGCAACTTCGAGCCTCAGTACAAGCGTCATTGGCTTGGTTCCAGCTACAAGCGGCCGGGGCCGGCAGGCAACTCAGCCAGGCACACCAACCTTCCCAACATGCGAGTCCAGTACCGGCAAGCCATGCACACCCACACACACGAGAGAGGAGAGTGGTTAGTCAATATGCATGTGGTCCATCCCCCCATCCATCGCATCGCATCCATCAGGCACGACACGCTGCGTGGCGAGTTGGGTTTTCTGGATGACGTCATCAAGTACCGCGACGACCCGGCCAAAGCCGAGATCGCCGCCGCACACCTCAACGCCATGATAAACAACAGACGGGCTAACGAGGATGACGTAAGCACCTCCCACCCCACCCCCCCGGCACACACACACAGAGACGCCCACACACGGAGGGAGAGCTCTCTTGTTTGTCTGTGTGTGTGCAGGCTGGGTCGGTTCATTTCACGCACACGCCCTTCTCGACCGATTACTCTCCCCAGAAGTGCCGCGACGAGCCATCCATCCTGACTCCGTAATTAGTGCCTTCAAGCAAGGCCATCAATGTCACCACCACTGCTTTGCACTGCACACGCCTCTCCCTTTGTCTCTCTGTGTGTGTGTGTGTGTGTGCAGTCAGCTGATAATGCCTCCTGGGGGGCCGTTACACGCTCAGGAGGACCACCATGGGGGCGAGTGGAGGTGTCCCGTGTCGCCCACCATGTCGGCCATCGATGCTGACCGTGCGCGGCCACAGCGGAAGGGCCGCACTGTGTCGGACCATTCATCAGTGGGATGGGCCACCACGACATCGCCGCGGCTGGATGCCGAGCAGAGGCCGAGCAGCCCCCCCGCCATGCCAGGACTGCTGCCGCCAAACACTGACTGACTGACTGAGTGGCTGGCTGGCATGTTTGTGAATGTCTGTCTGTCTCACGGCGATATGTGGTGTGTTGTGTTGTGTGGATAAGGTGAAATGTATCGTAGCAGTCAGTAGTAGGGAGGGCCCTGGGCACTTTGACGTCTGACATGTCTTGACGTTTGTCGACTCGACGTGTCTTGTGCTGTCTGCGTTGTTGTTGCGTGTCACATGGCCGTGTTTTGCTGTCTAGGGAGGTCAGATGAGGTGATAGGAGGCATTTATGCTGTTGTGCGTGTGATTGCTGCGTGTACGCTCTCATGGATGCGCTGCATGTAGTGTGCAGGAGCACTCTGTCATGATCAGCCCGTGCCGACGACCGGGAATGAGCACGTGGACCGGTGTGACACGCAGGCGCTGCATATCCAGGCGTAGGGGTCGTGTCTCGTCACTTGATCACACGCATCAGGCAGCTGTCAGTGTCAGACGCCTGTCTCCTTGATCCTCGAGCTGACTTCTCTGCCTTGTGTGCGAGTCATGGTCACACCTCACCTCACCTCATCCACAACAGAGAGGAAAAATACACCTGACACCGCCGTCGAGCCAGCCTGTCAACCTCTACCCATCATTCAGCTGACGTCATATAGCCTTGAAGCTAAGAGATTAAGCACGGATATTCATCCCCCCCACCGTCAACTGGCTTAGCAGGAACCCATGCGCACATGCGAAAACGGCGCCATGCATGACCGCAGGAATGGCAGCCACATGGCCGGCTGGAAAAAGACACCATCCGACCACAGACAGACACCAAACTACAAAAATGCATCGTGACAGACGCTCTCTCTCGGTGGCATTGATTCTGTGGACGCACAAACAGCTGACTGACTGACTGACTGACCATACCATACCATAATGACGCTTCGCTTCACCTCTCATGTGATGTGTCTGTCTCTCTCCCGCGAGTCCCGTCACACGCTCATGTCCGAAACACAAAGGCGTAGTGGCCACACATCTGCTTCTCGTCCACAGACTGGTATCGCTCGTCCAGCGCACGGACGCTAAAGAAAAAGACAAACGGCGCTATGCTGTTGAAGATTAAGATCCCACTGCACAGCAGCGTCACCACACGGAGCACACGCACTCCCGGCTCGCTCTCCATCCTCAGCAGCGGCAGGTTGGCCACTCTCACGGCATACTACAACACACACACACACAAGGACATTGGCTCTTTGCGTTTTGGTGCCGGCCCTTCTTTGCTTACGATGAAGAGGAGCCACTCAAGAATGGCCTCGATCACAATGAGTACCGCAAGAGTCGCCAGCCGCTCACACAGAGACGCGTAGCCCGGCTGCAGGATCTGCTCCAGCGTGAGCATCAACACATTGAAGAACACCAAAATGCTCAGCTCGCTGAGGTTGAAACCGTGCAGCCCGTCGGAGAGAGCTCTGAGGTATCTGGGGGTGGTGTCTCTGCACACATACGCCAGTCGTAGGTCGAACACTCGTCGAGTGTATGTGGTCATGGTCGACATGCTGCTGAGCGCACGTTGAAGGGTCGACTTCTGTCTCCCACCCCGGGCGGCAGCCGACTCCTTGGCGCAGCTGGTGACACTGCGGGAGAGGATTGAGGGGCTTCGGGTCTTGTCGATGTTGCTGGTGCTGCCGGCGCGGGAGGGGGACACCTGGCCCGAATCCTTGCGCTTCAAAGTCATGACGCTGGTGTTGGCTGCGCTGATGCACTTGTCCTTTATGTGGCGCCACAAAGTGGTCTTGATGATGTCACCTGGGCGCAAGCAGAGAACAGCAACAATCGTCCGTTCGTTCGTATGTCTCGTGCGTGAGCGTCGAAAAGGAATACGGCACCCAACCGTACCGTAAGGCAGAAACAGGTCGGTGAGGAAGTCGAATGTGGCGAACAGCAAAGAGTTGACCACCTTTGCCTCTACCGACTCCATACGGGCCTGGATCAACCGGGGCACGCTGAGGTAGAGGACCGCCGAGGGGAAGATCAGTGGAGCTGTCCGAGTTGGGGGCCCGTGATTGATAAACCGGGCTGTGGCGATTGCTATGCCTGCAGGACAGGCAGAGACACGAACTGTCCTTGCGTGTGGACGGACGACTTGTTCTTTCATTTGATTTCGTGCTGACCTATGAAAGGCCTGCCGACAATGAGCGCAATGAATGCAATCTTGGTGCGGCGAGCGTCCGACTGCGCCTTCGTTGCTAGTGGCAGGAACAGCACGAGCCATATGGTATGGGTGATGATCGGCATGAACCACGTCAAGGCGGCCTGCAGGGCGTATATCCTCTTCTCTCTGACGGAACTCATGTTCATGTCATCGGTCGCCTGACGATAGAACAGGTAGGGGGTCACCGCACCTGCAAGCACAGTGACACCGACACACGAGACACGAACCCTTCAGAAGGAGACACGGAGAGAAGGCATACATACCGATGCAGATGTAAAGGGCTGGACCGAGGAAGACGTTCTGGACAATCGACGACAGATGGACATGGTGGGAAATGGACGTCAGGAGGGTGAAGACCAGCAGAGGAAACACGATGAGCCACGACTTTCGCAACCGTCTCCGGCACCTGTAGAGACAATCGCCCCCAACGCCTTCGACCATGAGGGTGACACTGAGCCAGAAAGTGCCCACAATCAGTACTCTCCTGGCGACGTCGAGGATGATCCAAGGCACATCGACGCTCGTGTCCTCACAGGAAAGCCAGTAGAGCGTATACAGCACCACCCACACGGCAGCGATGCCGGTCGCAGCAGCCACTTGATGGAAAATGACGTGGAGAGAGCGCCACACAGTGCGGCTGAGCGGCTTTCGGTGGAACCAGCACATCGACCATGAGACCGTCAGGGCCCTCGGCCTCCTCGTATCGCAGTCGTGTCTCAAACTCTTGGTACCTGCATGAAACACAAATGCATGTGCAAATGTCTTGAACACCCATAGCCCGAAGTCGATGCTCACGCGGCATTGTATCCTGCGGCGTCGTGGAACTCTCTCTCCACAGCGGCAATGGCGAGTTCCTGCTCCCTCACGCCCCTCGGAAGGCCCGCTTCCTCCATCATGACCGCATCTCGGCTCCTCCCGCGCCGCTCGCTGGGCGGGTCTCGGGCGATGAAAACACTGAAGAACCGCTCCACTCTCTCACGGAAGGTGCGCTGCGTCGGCATCAGCTGCCAGTCACCCCTCTCCCTCGGCAATGCGGGCAAGTTGCAGTCGCTTGGGTATTCCGCTGGCCCCCCGACCTTCCCCCGATCATACTCTGGCTGTTCCGTGACCGTGACGTCGACTTCTTTGTCAGACCAGACAGACTCAGCAGACCAGTGGTCAGATGGCTCGATGACAGGGGAGCTGCTGTCCCCTTCAATTTGACTCAGCCGCACTGTCATGATGAGGCTTATCGTGGGAAATGTCTGGGCAACGTCGTTACTCTCGGTTTCGGGCTCCGTCATCTTCATTGACGCGGCGGAAGATGGCTCATTCGAGCCGGGAGGGCTGCCAGTGGTGCCGCTGGGGTGGTTGCTGGGGTGGTTGCTGGGGTCAACAGGGTCGTCTTGGTTTGTGTTGTCCATTCTGAACAGCGGAATGGCGATCGTCGAGTCGCGAGGGGGGCGGAGACGGGGTGGGGGAGTAGGCGTAGGACCACTGCACTGTTACTGTACTGTATTGCATGCACTGTAGTGTTTCATGCGGACGCTTTGTGTGATGTACATGCCATGATGGACCATGCTTCGATGGCACCCTCAAATGAAGGCGCAATGACGTCCGATACCCCCAAACTGACACTCCCAACCTCAACATGGCACACTCCACCGTCACAGCATCTCAAATTTTCGCCCGTGCCTCCATGGAAGCTCTGGAATGCGCACCGAGGAGGCATTGAATCTGATGATGCGCCCGAGTGGAGGAGCATCCTGTCAGCCCGTGCCGACGACCGGGAATGAGCCCGTGGACCGGTTTGACACGCAGGCGCTGAATATCGAGGCGTAGGGGTCATGTCTCGTCACTTGATCACACGCATCGTACGCACCGTCAGCTACCGTCTGTCTCACTACTCTTCGAACTGGCTTCTCTGCACTGTCTGCAAGTCATGGTCACCCCGTCGTCGCATTCCCTTGCTGCCATTGAAAAAAGGCATCTCACGGAGACAATAACTATGACTGCTATGATGGCCTATATATTGCATCTCATGGTACTGCGCTGACTATCAATCTCTCGCCTATGCCCCCCACACCACACCCACATCAAAACGTCCTATAAAAGACGAACATGCGAGATATCCACAAGCAGCCACCATACGAAAAAGGCGCCGTGACGGCAGGTCGTGTGACAAGCGACGGACTACATACAGACTACAAAAGGCGAATCAGCATCGCTCACTGTCGCACCTGCCCTCTCTGTCACGCCCTGACGAGGGGCGGCGGCGTCCAGAGTCCGTCGACGACCGATTGCTTGGGCCAATACTGCAGATGCGATCAGACAGATAGCAGCAGAGAGATGTGGCATCCATCCATTCATCCATCCATCCATGCCTCTGGCTGTCTCACCAGGCGCAGCACGATTGAGAAGACTCCCTTGGGTGCCGGCAGCCAGTTGGCCTGCGGCTGGTCCTTGG